CCCCAAAACCCCAAAACCCCAAAACCCCAAAACCCCAAAACCCCAAAACCCCAAAACCCCAAAACCCCGATTTTTGGAGACAATATTGACTCCTGAATATAGTTGGTATTTAATATTTATAAATCAATCTAACAGCATCCTGAGCTTCCTGCTCCTTCTTTCGGAACGCATCAACCTTCTTTAGCATCAGCTGCTGTTGAAATCTGGAAGCTCTGCTTTTCATGAAGACCTTGATGATAGCCATCTTCAGTTACCTCAAAGAAAGGAGCGTACCTCGATTTTCTCAAAATTTCTGCAGTATTCTTACACACAGAGACTTCTTTATTCTTGCAGAAAGTATAGTTTTGGTCAAACTCGAATTTGCATCCAAAGTCAGGGATTCCACTCTTGTAGGTTGCAATATTTCCATAATTCTCTGACCTGTCTTCAAGAGATGAAATCTTGAAGGCTCTTATAGTGATAGAGTAGAACTTTGGAGCAAGATCATAGCCTGCTGTATTTTTAACCTCACTCTGTGAAATCACTCTCAAATCAGTGAAACCAATCTCTTTCATGAGCCTTCTAAAGTCTTCGAAGTAAAGAGCTCCTGAGAGACATTCTCCCCAAAGTTCCTTGTTGTCTTGGAGTTCTTGAGGGACTCTTCTATCAGAATATATATCACTGAAATAGAGTTCTCCACCTTCTTTAAGAGCTTTCCATACTTGTCTAAATACTTTGTCTTTATTTGGAGAGAGATTTACTACACAATTGGAGATGACTACATCTACTGAGCCTTCTGCTACATTTCCTGAGTCGGTGAAGTCTTCGATGTAGCCTTGAATAAACTCTGTATTTGAGTATCCAAATTTCTCAGCATGATAGTCCTGGAAGTCCTTAGCGACCTGGATTTGCTCATCAGTCATATCAATCCCAATGACTTTTCCAGATTCTCCTACAAGTTTGGAGCAAATATAGACATCTCTGCCACTTCCAGACCCTAAGTCAAGAACAGTTGCTCCTGCTAAACATTCAGGGATTGGGTTTCCGCATCCATAATACCTAAAAAATCAATGAGATCATAAAAGAACGAAGAATACTCTTCATCAAGGAGAAGACTCTTACTTGATAATAACATCATTATGCACTTCCTTAACTGCTTCTCTAGCTGACTTATAGAGCCCCTTTCCTTTTGGACAGCAAGCATCAGTTTTTAAGTCTTCTGTCTTTGATAAAGTCTTGCCGTAGTATTCTTTAACCCCTTCTTTAACTGTATCTGGTTGTGCACTTTCCATTTTTAATTAATTATCTTGATTTGCATATTTTCAGAAGACTTTTATATGAACTCAATAAGTCTCCAATTTTACGGGGTTTTGGGGTTTTGGGGTTTTGGGGTTTTGGGGTTTTGGGGTTTTGGGG